TGTAATAAAATAGCACCCCCCAGTATGCAGTGTTTTTCACAGTGCCAGTTTTAAAGGATGTTTAGTCTTTAACAGAAGTGACAGTCTTATTTATTTTTTATAGTCCTTTATGCCCTGTAATTTGATTCCTTAGAAGCTGTGTCTTGGAATTTAAATGTGTCATCAAGCTCATTTTGAAGGGGTGGTCTTTCAAAGAGTCTGGCATCGAATATCCACGAGTGCTTAAGCTAAGTTACTCTATTTTCTTTAGTTTTATTTTTAAATAAATCTCAAGTTGAGCTCATCAATTTCAGTTACAAAAGTTGGTAATCTCATATCCGTATCTGGAGTTTTGAGATTTTTCTTACAGTTATACTAAAATGTGCCAAACCTGCTTTAAATACTCTCACTTATATGTAAACGGTACCCTCTTCCCATTCTCTGTTTGAAGGAGGTTTTCTGCAAGATACAGACAGTTTTGAAAAAGAGTCTGCATAGACAAGGAAGGTTACATCTGTAAACTAGTGAGACTGTGGCTAAATTTCATATGGATGCCTCCATTTGAAACAGCCAGGAAGACCTGTTTATATTTGAATGTATGAATTGCTGCCAGGTTGGCTCTGTCTTTCATGTTTATGGATTTAAATTCAGCACATGGCTTTAACTTTTCAGCTGCAATAGCTGCAAACAATTAGCCCTCCCCCCGCCCACTCCCACAAAATGTTGAGGTATAATCAGTAGACTGTCATGTCCATTCCAAGATGCATTTGACCATTTAAAAATATGGTTGAGCATATTTGTTTAAAATGCTACAGTTGATGGAACCCATGCAAATAATATAACCGTGTTTAAGATGGAAATATAAACAAATATTAAACCTGTGTACCGTTGTGTGCAATAAAAATAAGATTTTTTTATGTTAAAATCAGACTATCTATCTACCCTGGATATATGCATCAGTGAGAGTGAGCGTTAGTAAAAGAATACAATGAGCATGCCATAAATCCCTCCTAATTTATCATGTTGCCTATATACTTTCTTTGTTTAAATACACAGGTGTCACTTTCTGTGTGTTTCTTGAAGTGAAAAAAAGAACACAACTGCAATTAAAACACTTGCATGAATGCAATGGTCTGCTGAATTTTTAATTTTTATTTTATTTAATAATTTCAATTCTGTCAATTGCAGGTTTGCTTCAGGGGAAAAAAACAGTAGTTAGTTATTGGCTGGTTTTATTTTATCATGTACAGGAGCTCATTTCGGGAATGTGACCGTGATTTTAGAATATTTTAACTGTTGTCTTTGAATACTGAAAGGTGCAAATTGTTTTTTTGACTTTAACATGTAGTAAGGGAATTTCCAAAAGCTTAAACTTAAATGTAGTCACACTCTGAACTCTAATTTGAGTCCTAGTTTCATCAGTGTACAAATAAAAATTTAATCGAGATCTATGAGTGACTAGAATCCAGACACTGGTGCCTCATAGGAGCGGGGATTGAGTCTCATTGGCCCCAGCTATTATTAAGGTTAATATATGGACATGAGGCATATGCTATTTTACAATTTATATGTGCAGGCCCTTTGCCAAATAATGTTTTTTTCTTATATTTACTAAATATTCCCATACTCCCAATTGTATGTTTCATCCTTATAATTCCTATAAGGATCTCTGTTATGACACACTGTGATATATGGATATTACTGTACTTTTGCTTGCAGCTGTATTAAGTCCCACTATAATTACCATGACTATTACAGTGCTGCTTCTTGTTAGAATGTTTAAAATGCTTGTTTTCTCCAACAGGTATTGGGAGCACAGTATTTCACATGTGGTAAAACAGTCGTTTCATTTACTAATAATTTCATTTAGCATTAGTTTTAGATTCATGTAAGTGGTGGGATATCTATAAAGTGTTCATTGTAATTAAAATGTGTTTTGATAAATCAGAAAGTGGGTCTGCACAGCCATATATCCTTGCTGTGGTTTGAAATATTTTCATAATTATGGATGCAATTCAGGGTTGCTGGAGGCTCCTTTTTACTAGCTTTGGAAATAGCTTGAGATCAAAAAGAGAAGAAATTCAGACTGCAAATCAAACGTAAAAATAAATGTCTCTGTGCTCACTTATTAAAAATGTATCTCTTATTCTTTATTGTCTTAGAATCATGAGAAGGACATCAATTGCCATGGAAAGAACCCTTAATAAACATATCATTTAAATTATTGTAAATCATATTTTCATCTTAAATTGCTTGTCTCTGCTGGGTAAACTAGACTTTAGAAGTAGCTTTCTTCAGCAGTCCTTTTATTCTCAAAACTCAAAATATTTCCTACTCAATTGATCAGGTGTGCCAAGTTAACTACTTGGTATTACTCTTTAAGAAAAACATGTGTATGTGTATAAACTCCAATGTTTTTAGAAATTTAAGGCAGCATTAAGCACACATGGTAAATAGTTTTATACCGCATAATGGCTCACTGTACAAAAAGTGTTGTGTTTTTTTAATATACACCATTTTCTGGACTGGATCTGAAAAATACTTAATTTTTAAGGCCTCTGTATTGTAAAAACATCTGCCCTGTTCTTATCTGTGGCTCTCAATTCAGACAGGTTCAGTGAGTTACAAAACTCCTGGATTACCTTGCTGCTAAGTGAAGACTAAAATGGAAGGCAGACTTTGTTTGGATGCCTGAGGTGCAGCTGGGTGCCCAGGAATTAGCATATCATTCAGAAGTTGCCACTGATGCCAACAGAATTGTGGTTTTTTTTTAATGGGGTCACCCATGAGTGGAGATGGAAAAGAACAAAAGCTGTTCATTGTGTTTCTTGTGCTGTAGAAAAGAGGCAAGAACAAAACACTTGAACATTGTAATATGTTTAGTTGAAAATGTATACCTTTAAATGAGATGTGTGTGTTTTGGAAACATGAGGAGAGATTCTATAGTTAATATCAGTTTGAGTGCTTTGCTTTTCAAGAAAACAAAATTAAAAATCAGTCTTTTCCCCAAAAATTTGGCCTTGTCGCTCTCAGCCCTCCTTCTCTCCCTTAAACTAAGCTACCAGATTCGTTGCTAACTCCACATTTCCCACACACATTGCTATTGCATTTCAGAGGTAGGCAACTTTTGAAATTTTATGTTGAACAGGACAAAAGTTAAGGCATTAAGAAAAGGCAATGGACAAAGCAGTAGTTGCCATATATTCACATGTTCTAATGCAGCCAGACTCTATAGCTAGCTCCAGTTCTCCCATATATCCCATTGTCCCTAACCTAGGCACAAAGCTGTGATTATAACCTGGCTCTCCAGGTTACTGTTCCTGATGAAGTGAGGTCAGTGTGTTCTCTCTTTCTCTCTTTTTCTCTGTGTCTCTGTAAGCCTGACGGCCATCATACTAACATGTTGCTCTTGTAGTCAGTGAGAGACCCATTCCAATTTTGATCCTTGGTCTTTCTTCCTTAGTTCATTTGTGTTTCCCCAGCCCATCTGGTTTCCTACAGACAATACGGATCACCCGGAGGAGTCCTGGATAGCAAAGGTTTTTGGCAGCCAGGGCTCCTCCATAGTGATCCATAGGGAGGCTCACAAGATGAAGAATGTGCCTCTGGTGTGGAGATTTAAGTTGTGTTTAACAGGCAAATTTAGCCTCATCCTCTTTGTCCCCCCTGCTGCTTTTGCCAGGATATGGTGGGCGAGTTGCAGGCAAATTTGATTGATAACCATAGCTTAGATCTCCCCATTCTAGGCATAGGATCCATCTAACCGTTCAGTCAGTGGTTAACCAGAGGGGACTCTTGATCTGATGAACCCTAATGAATGTTGTTATTTTTGTTGCTAACTATTTTGAAAGTAATACACCCCAGTTAATAATTCAGAAAAGTACAGTTTCACACCAAGGGGCTGTGTCTACACTGGCCTCCCTTTCGGAAAAGGGATGCTAATGTAGCACTTTGGAATAGGCAAATCCGCGGGGGATTTAAATATCCCCCGCGGCATTTGCATTTACATGGCTGCCGCTTTTTTCCGGCTTGGAGATAAGCCGGAGAAAAGCGCCAGTCTAGACGTGATTCTCCGGAAAATAAACCCTTTTCCGGAGAATCTCTTATTCGAGCTTTCAAGTAGGAATAAGAGATTCTTCGGAAAAGGGTTTATTTTCCGGAGAATCACGTCTAAACTGGCTCTTTTCTCCGGCTTATCTCCAAGCCAGAAAAAAGCGGCAGCCATGTATATGCAAATGCCGCGGGGGATATTTAAATCCCCCGCGGATTTGCCTATTCCAAAGTGCTACATTAGCATCCCTTTTCCGAAAGGGAGGCCAGTGTAGACACAGCCAGGGTGTGTCTAAACTACACCCCTCTGCCGACAGAGGGATGTAGATTAGGCACATTGCTATTGCAAATGAAGTGGGGATTTAAATATCCCGCGCTTCATTTGAATAGAAATGGCCGCCGCTTTTTGCTGATACGGCACTTTGCCGGCAAAAAACGGCAGTCTAGACGGGGATCAGTCGACAGGAAAGCCTTATAGGATTGGTCGGAAAAGGCTTTCCTTGTCGACCAATCCCTGTCTAGACTGCCGCTTTTTGCCAGCAAAGTGCCGCGGCGGCAAAAAGCGGCGGCCATTTCTATTCAAATGAAGTGCGGGATATTTAAATCTCTGCTTCATTTGCAATAGCAATGTGCCTAATCTACATCCCTCTGTCGGCAGAGGGGCGTAGTTTAGGCACACCCCTAGAGTTGGTAAATGTCAATATTTTAATAGTGACCCTTAAACAGAAAGGGCCATGTTTTCATTTCTGTACATATGGGCCTCCATGCATTTATATGAGACTTCATCCACAAATGTTTTTTAAATATGATCATATTAGAATACTGTAAAATATGAAGTATACCTGAATGGGTTTGTAATTATATGTAAATGGTGTGCTGGAAAGACTATTTCAGCTTTGTTTTGTGTAATCTTAATTTTTAAATGATACCATGATTATGAAAGAAAAATGCTTTTAAGTGAGAACCTTGTCTCAATTCTTCAGAAATGTAAAAGCTGAATTTTCCTATTTTTAAAGCATTTTCCATTTAATGACATTCACAAAAATGCACAACTGAAGTCAAATGATGAAATGCGGCTATAATTAAATAAAGTACATAATTCAGACAAAACAAAATACAATACATATTTTTCATTTCAAGCCTGCATGTACTTTGGTTATAAATACTTGGAACAGTGTATTCTTTGGTATGGAAAAAATAAAGATTAGGCCTCTCTTTCAAGGGCAGTTGTGGGGAACTGTTCTCTTCCTCTTGTTCTCCGTGTGAGACTGGATGGGCCTGTATTTTTTTAATCTAATTCAATGGACTGGATTGGTACCGCTGAGGTCCCATGGATTTGAAACTTTTCCACGTAAGAAGGTCTACCCTAACATCCCTTAATTATTACAATTTTTGTTCTGTGCAATATGTGACATCATAATGCCTTCTGTAAAGTATTGTGTAACAACTATTAATCTAGAATGATGAATTTGAGAGGGGAGGGTGAATTTAGTGCCTTAATGATGTTGCATTGTGTAACACAGACATTCTGGGTTCAAAGCTTGAATATTTTGGACAGAAGACATTATTTTGTGGAAGTGCTTTGGTTCCTTCATTTGAGTTGAAAAACCTGCAGAGCAGGTTTTCAGTGTATCTAAGATTCTTTCTTGTGCATAGTTTGGTGAACTGGTTAGGTACGTGTTATCACTGTGGAGATAACTGAAGATAGATGTGGAAAGACAGGGTAATGAGGTTTGTCAATATATCAATAATGTTGAAAGCCTCTGTCCTTCCTTATACCTTATATTGCTGCGGAACCCCAGATCCTTGTTTACAAGAGCTTGCTTCAGTATCTTTGAAAGGACCTCTTTTGTGAGAAGGTAAAAGCACAGAGAGACTCTAAATGGTAGGTGTGTAATATAGGCAGGCATAGTAGTAAGTGATAGCCACTTCCCTCTATGTTTCATATTTTAAACAATAGAAAAAAGCATTACACTCATAGTTATAAATGCATATTCCAGATGAGGGATCATGTTAGATATTGTATATAGTGTCCTAGGGGTTTTGTTTGACATATCCAAAGTGTTTTCCTTCACAGGGAGAGTTGGTCCAGCAGGTGGCCAGTTCTGACTTCTTTGTATAAATTTTGTATGTCTGTGAAATAGAAGGCACAATGCTTGGTGAAGGCTACTTCTGCCACATACTGAAAGAACTATTTTATTTGGTAATGTTGAATTAGGGTGCTGTTCCTAGAGGGAAAGATCAGTTTTTCTGTTACCTGCTTAATCTTGTAGCTGAAAGAGTATGTTTGGTTAGGTTAATAATTTCCATTAATAAATCGTATTCAGTTTTTAGTTACATTGATAGCCATAGGACTAAATTTTGCAACCATTGTGTAAGTGTGTGTGGGGGAAGGGGAGATATTAGCAGTAAAAGGTACATTGTGATGCTTCTCTTTAAAACTTTTCACTTTCAAGTCTAAATGTCTAAAAAATAAATTAATGTGTTCTCTTCTAAAGAACAAAAATATTTTATATTGCGTTTATATATACAGTATATATGTTTATAGAGCTATATTTCTGAAATGTATGTTTATATGGTATGAATTTATTATACACATATCTTTCTTATCCAATAGTATACACCATCTAATTGAGAGCCATGTGATAAACTAAATTTATCATGCATCTTTGATCACTTTAATCTTTTCTTCAAAGAAGTACTACTAATGCTCAAAATCATAAGACGTGATACCATTCTAGAGAGAGAAATGGGAGCTTTTGTACCCTTGGAGGGGTAGCTTTCCAGAAGGACACACAACCCTCTTGTTTCTAACCTTTGAAGGTCCTGAGATATAAGATTTTAAAATTGACATTTTGAGGCATAAGAACTATTGTAGCCATTTTAGGGTATGTCTACACTTCACACTTATTTCGAAATAAGCTATTTTGGAATAAAAATTCAGAAATAGGTTATTTTGAAATAGCGTGTCCACATTACAAATGCCCATCAAAATAGTGCAGATTTATTTCAAAATAGAGCATCCACACTGACTGGAGCCTGAAACATATTTAAAGCCCCCCCAGAAGCACGTTAGGCAGGGCATAAGGACAGCAGTCACTTCCTGGAGCTGCTGCCTGAGGCTATCTGGGGCTTGTGCTTAAAGGGACCTCCCTGTACAGCCTTGTCTCAGGCTCTTCTCTTTTGCCTATCTCCTTGAGGGACAGCAAAGCCTTTTCACTGCATGCGCTATTTGCCCTTGTGGTCATTACAGCTCTTCAGCCATGGAACCGGACCTGCCTTCAAGCAGTCAACAGCTCCTAGACTTCATGCCACACCTCCTGGTACAGTTTCTGAAGGCTGCCCTCATGGCTCTGCAAGCGGAGGACCCCCAGCTCATTGCAGGGCACCTCCTCTCCTCTCTAAAGGTGCTGCTCCCGCCCCCCCTCCCCCCCGCGCACCGTGCACTGTGGCTTCTGGCGACTGGACACCAGTTCTGACTGAATCATCATGGAGTGATGGGATGACCAGCAGTGGCTCCCGAGCTTCCGCATGAGGAAGGAGACCTTTCTGGAGCTGTGCAAGTGGCTCGTCCCTGCTCTCAGGTGACAGGACACCCACATGCGACCCGCCACCCCCTCTAGAAGTGAGCCGCCATTGCACTTTGGAAGCTCGCCACACTGGACAGCTACTGCTCTGTCAGGAACCGTTCGGTGTGGAGAGATCGACCGTTGAGGCCATGATCATGCAGGAATGGCTCCCTCTTGCTATTGTCCCAGGAGGGTGGTGAACTGCTGGAATGGGGTTTCCTAGGAAGCGGGGGAGTGGTGGAGGCTCCCTCCCTGGAAGGTTTTTCAGTCCCACCTTCACAAAGCCCAGCTGGGGGCTGCTCCTAGTGTGTGTGGGGAAGGGTATGGCTCCAGGACCTCCCAAGGACCCTAGCAACCCTGTGATTCGCTTTTTGTCTTCTATAGGTGGTGAGGGACATCAACGACATCCTGCTGTGCAGGGTCGTCATCCTGGGCAACGCGGACCCCATCCTCACCAGCTTTGCTGCCATAGGCTTCCCCAACCACAAGGGGGCCATTAACAGCACCCATATCCCCATCCATGCCTCTAAACACTGGGTGTCTGAATATATCAACCAGAAGAGGTACTTTTCTATGGTCCTGCAGGCCCTCATGGATCACCGAAACTGATTCACCCATATTAACGTTGTGTGCTCGGGGAAGGCACATGATGCCTGCATCATTAGCAAGTCCAGCCTCTTCCAGAAGCTACATGCTGCACTTTTTTCCCCAACTGCACCATCAGGGTTGGACAAGTGGACATGCCTATGTTCATTGTGGGGGACGCTGCCTACCCTTTGTTTCCCTGGCTAATGAAACCCTACACAGGACACCTGGACAAACACAAGAAACATTTCAACAGACGGCTCAGCAGGGCCTGCATCATGGTGGAGGGCGCCTTTGGCCATTTGAAAGGGAGGTTCTGCTGCCTCCTCACCTGCCTGGACCTTGGCAAGTGGAACATCCCCCAGGTGGTGGTGGCCTGCTGTGTCCTGCACAATACATATGAAAATAAGGGGGAGATGTTCCTGCCAGGGTGGAGGGCAGAGGCCAAGCAGTTGCCAGGTCCTTTGGACATCCACGCATGGCTGCTATCTGGCAGACCCATCAGGAGGTCCTGAGGAAGAGTTTCACACAAGGACCCCAGTGACACTCTCCCCTGGGCCTCCCTACAAGGGGCCTGTGCATTACCTCTCTGTGCCTTTTCTCCCACACCCCTCTCTTCCTCTGCCCTCCTTTCTCCCCTCCCCCCTCACCTTCTCCTATTGATAAAATAAACCAGACCTTTTGTTTTGGAACAAGAAACTCTATTTTGGTTTAATTGGGATCATTGTGACTGGGGAAAGAACCTGGAGTGGGGAAGGAGAAGGAGGGAAGAGGAGGGAGAAGGAGAGGCTCAGGGATGGGGCTGGGTGTGGTGCCTGCCTCAGGTGGTCCCACTGCCTTGTGTGCAGGGCCCACAGTAGCCATGGAGCAAGGGGCTAGAGGGAGAAGCCAGAGGAATAGGAGCTGACGCAGGAGCTGGGACGGGAGTGGCAGGGGGATGCACACGGTTCAGGCCTGCTGCAGTAGCTCTTGCCAGGTGGTGCAGTGCAGCTCCAGGCCCACCTCCAGTCTGCAGTCCTGCCACTCCAAAGATGGCTGCAGGGCATGCAGCCAGGCAATGTGATCCTGCTTGGGGTTGCCTTCGCTTGCGGGTCATGCGGAGTCTGGAGGCTGGTGCAAGAAGTGTGGCTCACACCTCACTCTCAGCTGGTCCAGCTGTGAGGAAAAGTGAGAAGGGCGGTCATCGCAGGAGGCAGGCTGCCTGAAGTCCAGCCCTCATCTCTGAGCTGACACCGAAAGATCTCGAGCCAGACGAAGGCAATGTGCTTCGAGCAAGGCCATCTGCGGCCTAGACAGTGGGCCCCTTCCTGTAGAGGAACAGACGTCCCAGGGAAGCCTTTCTTCCCCCACATCCCAGGGACAAGCAGGCATGAGAAGGTACTAGCCAGGCTGGGAACCGGCAGGTGGGAGGGAGACAATGGGGTGGTTTGGCAGGGGCTCAAGGTTCCTGAGCAGCTGCCTCATTGCTGCTGTCTGCCCCAGACTAGCGCTGCACGTGCACCCACGTACACAGGCCGCTATGCGATCCCCAGGCCAAGAAGGCCAGGCAAGGAGTGTGCAGCCTCTTGCCACCATCGCCTCCTCCCCCGCCCCCGTGTGTCCAGGGAAAGTAATTCAACTCCCCTGATGGTCCTTTCCCGGCTTCATCCAACCCTGGGAGGGGGTACCAGCTCCATGGACAGGCTGACCTCCTGGCTAGTGGGCATAGTGTCTGTGCTGGCCACCTCCTCCTCATCATTGACCTCATCATCCTCCTCCACAGCCACGCCCTCTGGGAGGCTGACGACAGGCATGTCCAAGCCAGAGTCGACAAAGAGGGGAGGGGCGGTGACCTGTCTCCCTCCCAGGATGACATCAAGCTAGGTGAAGAAGCAGCAGGTCTTGGGTGGCCCTCCCAATCAGGAACTTCTTTCCCTGGCCTTGGCATAAGCCTGGAGGAGTTCCTTTATTTTCATTCTAACCTGGTCCAGAGTGCGGCTGTGCCCTCTCTGGAGCAGGCTGTCTGCCATGTGGCCATAGACATCCACATTTCACCATCTGACATGGAGATTCTGGATATTGGAGTGGATATTGGGTTTTCTGGGAGGCACAGGCCCAGTCAAAGGCAGTGGGAGAAGGAAGGCGTCTGCTGGCCAGGCTGAGGGCTTAAATCAGGGGCTAATTCTCCACATAGTGCTGGGAGCAGAACATGCCCTGCTGGCTAGGGATATGGAGCAACAGCAAGGCTGAGGGGGCAAAGCAGGGAGAGAACAGCAAGAGGAGGAGAGCCCATGGGTGGGCAGCAGGGGGGAGGAGGCCCATGGGTGGGCAACAGAAGTGACATATAACTGGCTGCTGCCTGATGCCATCCTGCACTAACCAAACACTGCAGCTTGCAGCATGAAACAGGGCAGGAGGTGGGGTCCTGCTAGCTGAGAGCCCACCTGTAGTGGGGGCTGTGCTGACAGACCAGCAGGGGAAGTGGCATTGTTAACCACTGGACCACCACTAGTGGGTGGGCAGCTGGCAAGCAGGGATTGGCCAGCAGCAGGCCCTGCCGGTAATGCTGAAGGGTGAGAAAAATACAGGACAATTACCCTGTGTTTAAGAAAAAGTGAGCACCTCCAACTGCAGTATGGCTTATATATGGGACTATGCTTTTAAAAATGGGACATCTGGTCACCCTCCTCAAAGCCACCATGGCAGTCACTAGTGAAGGGGAGTAGTGGCCCTGAGGAGGTGAGACAGGGTCACCCTGGAGCAGGGGCAGATGACGATTTTGCGGGGCCCAGGGCAGCACAATTTTGCAGGGCCCCCCCTTTGACACAGCACATGTGCGGTGGCGCCTTGGCACATGTGCGGGACTTCTTGAAGCACAGGGCCCAGGGAGGCCGCCCCGCTCGCCTGCCCTGGAGTGGTCTCGTATCTAACATAGTTGTAGCTGTGAGGGAGATTCCAGTTTTATAGATTCCGTAGCATTCATTTTCTCTGTGAAATGCTGTATTGGCCTAGATTTTTAAAGAATGTTGTATTGCCCAACTGACTTAGGAGCTTATGTCTCATTTTCAAAAGTGACTTAGGCAGGTAAGCACTTTCAGTCACATTTAGCCTCCTAACTCGCTTTTGAAGATTACATACATTCCTAAATCACTTAGGCACAGCAGCGGTGAGCAGAGCAACACCTCCATACCTCTAAGATTCTGGGGTGTTTGCTGCTCGTGCATCCTGAGTTTGGCTTCAGGGGGATTCTTTAATATGGAGGACATTACTATAGCTTTAGGAAGGTTATCTGCTCAAGAACTTCCTGCTTTACCCAATAGGGTCTGCACAGAGTCTCTGATACATTTGCTTGCATCTAAAAGCAAAAATACTGGTTTCTAATGTTATAAGAATGACTTCCTACCTCCTTTCAGCTTCTAGAAAGTCTTAATGAAAGGAGCGTTGTACAAGTACAGTGGTGACACAGGTTAAGTGGCCTGTTACTGCATGCCATTGTTTCCATAGAAACCGAATGTTTCTGGCACACTGAGATGATGATGATGTCACATGTGTCGTCTGACAAAGACGTCGTGGGTGCATGTCACATACACAAACGGTAAATGTTCAGTTCCTCAAAGTCAAGAAAACCCCACTGATATGGGAAGGAAAAACACTTCGTTACATTTATATTTTTACAAACACTGCTGCAATAAGGGTGACAAAAAGCAGGCATTTTTTAATTTCTCTTAGTATCCCTCCTCATACAAACCCAGAATTTGAAATATCAGCAATCACAGATGTAGACATTTGCACAACTTGACCTTAGTCAGAAAAGTAAAACAACACTCAAAATGCCATATGTCAAGCTTTAATGGCTAGGTTTGATTTTCAGTTATGAAGAAAACACTATTTTCTGGAAATATTGAGGACTTGGGTGATTAGCAGAAACACATCTGCTTATCCCAGTTTTCCACTTCTTTCATTTAAAAAAACAACAACCCACAAAACATTTGTAGACTGATTCTCTCATACATTAGGACCCTGTTCTGATAGTATGCAGGAGTCTTAAAATAGATATCAATATAATTTATCCCCACTTTATGGTGTCTTAACACTACCAGAGCAATAAGTTTTGTGAAAAGAAATATTTTAATTTGCCCTCTTCTCCTTTTAATCTTTCATTCTTTCTTATTCGGCTTGCCCCAAATCATTGAAACTGTAGAACCCAACAGCCCTTGTAAACCCCTTCTCCTTATTCAATTACTGCCATATCCCTATTTTGGGGTGGACATCATTAATCAAATAGGGACTGTCACTGCTTCCTACAGTACAACACTACAAAACAGTTGCAGTAATACAGTGTGAGTAAGTAATGGCAATAGATTAAAGCTATGTGCAAGGCTAATGCCAGCAGTACTGGCATTACTTTGTCAATGCAAAGTTCTTGTCCTTTTTCCAGGCTCTGACCAGAGTTCCACATGAGATATTCTAAGAGGGTTGAGATAAAGAACTATGACAACTGAACCGGTAAAGTGAATTTTCTGCTAATGAAAGATGCTAAATAGATGGTACTGGATTAAAGCCCAATTAATAATGTTCTTTACCCCCAAAGAAGCACTTCTTAGAGGCAGTTAAGAGACTGCAAGCTTCCCTACATTGGCCCATTCCAATGGGCCCAAATCTTGACCCTGAAGAGACCATCATTTGGGGCAAAGGCATAATTCAGTCACTATACTAATTCAGCCATGGGCTTCTACACTGAGGCTGCTAGTATGAGACTCAATTGTGTTCATGATTTTTGTGTGAGGACTAAGAACTGTTGTTCTGTGACTAGACGCTCCTTGAGAGGCAGCATGGTCCAATGTGCACTGTGCTGGCACTCAAAAGATATGGCTTCTATTTCTCTATCGGCAACTGACCTATTATGTGATCTTGGGTGAGTCATTTCACTTAATTATGTCTCTGTTTCCCCTCCAGTCCTTTCTCTACACTGTCTATTTAGATTATAAACTCTTCAGGACAGGGCCTACCAAGATGCTGGTGCCCTAATATCAGCTGGAGCCTTAAAGCATCACTATAATGCTAACAGTAATCAATACTAAATTACTGAATGCTCAGCAGCTAGTAACAGGTAATTTATTACCAACACAATCCAAATTTGAACCTGTGACATAAAGATGAAAACCTCATTGTATCAATCCTCTTTGCCATCTAGTCCCCCACAGTTAAACCATCCTCTCTCTGAGACTTTACTAAGTGGTAGATGTCTCTGAGTGGTGCACATCTCAAAACATGCTGTTTTGCATTGAACCCACACTTCAAATAACTCATACATAATGTTATGCACTAAATAGTAATACTTTCTGTTTGGCACAACTTTTGTTTAAGTATTTGATTTCTTCATTATTGCACTGGGCATCCAACTTCTGGCCAGGGAGCATTTATAAACATGTATCAGCTTGTATTCCTTTACCACAGGGTTGGGGAACCTTTTTTGAGTCATGGGCTGCTGACCCACAGAAAAATCCATTGGGGGCCACACGCAAGTGTGAAGCAAAAGAAAAAAACCCAAACCCCTCACTGATGTGGCCTCTGATTGATAAACAGAAAGACACTTCCCACATTCTTTTGGGGGCCAG